CCTGCTTTCCTTTTTCGCTTTCTCGTGACGGACGCCTTCTCCTGTCGCTTTCTCGTGACCCCTGCTTTCCTTTTTCGCTTTCTCGTGACGGACGCCTTCTCCTGTCGCTTTCTCGTGACCCCTGCTTTCCTTTTTCGCTTTCTCGTGACGGACGCCTTCTCCTGTCGCTTTCTCGTGACCCCTGCTTTCCTTTTTCGCTTTCTCGCGACCGACGCCTTCGTCTGTCGCTTTCTCGTGACCCATGCTTTGCTCTGTCGCTTTCTCGTGACATTGTTTTGGTGTTGTCTGCTGTTTTCGACTGCTATAAAAATGTACACATTAGGGCTCTTTTTTCATATTTTTGTGAAGGTATTCTCGTATATTACGAAATACACTGAATCCTGTAGATAAGTCGGCCATTAGATAGGTCCGCGCGACGTCGCGGTCACGGCGCGTGCGCACATTATACGGCACTCTGTCAGTTGAAACTAATCGTTACTCCCTGAAAATCAGACTCTGTTAGAGCATTTCCGATTGGGTTGCAAACAAACCACATTCATTTCCAGTGTGGTTGCAAAGACAAGTTGTGAGCGAGCGAACTACTGGTAGGGGATTAGGTAACAGGACTTGGTTGAGAGCAAACCAGGAAGTGTTGGCTCTCTGACTCTGAAACGAGACGAAAGTTCAGCGAACATAGGTGGCTTATTTGTGTTGGCTTTAGAAGACAAAGATGTCAAGGGAGTTGATTCGTTACATACAGACGAAGCAGCTAGCCAGACGATGGGAGGAACTATGAATAAGTAAGCATTGGGATCTGCCATGGGGCCTTCTTCATACGTTGCGACTTCGTATACGGGGAAACTACAGAATAGATGTCATTCTGTGTTGAACTCTGAATGCATCTTCAGTAATCGAACTACATTCTCTATTTTCCAACGTAACTTTGAAGTCTCCCTTTGCTGGCAGTTGGTACGATAAAGCCCTAAGACGAATAGGATTAATATACCTGGCAGGATGGAAATCCGCGCTCCTGAGCCGGCGCTGCGTATCGAGTTTTTTTTTCAGAAAAGCACCCTTATAATGTTCTATCAAGCTGCAACTTACCGACCCAGACGCCCACCGCACCCGCCAGCCCACAAGTGGACGACGGTACCGATGCTCGTATCGCTTCATCGGCGAAGTACACTATGAAGCAAAGAAACTACATGTAGCGGCTGCGATGCTGCATGGATGTAGGAGTCACACGTGCGGTCGTATCTACAGTAGCGGGTATTGGCACCAAGATAGCTAGAGGAAACAGTTCCGAAATCACTTACTAAGTCACAAAAAACGAAGGCTTTTCTCCGCAGGTTTTTGGCCATTTCGCCTATTTTCTTCGCCAATTTTCCAATATATAGCACCCTGCTAGCACCTCAGACCGAGTAATGAATTATAGGGCCATATGCCTTTTAACCTTCTTCCTATACATAGAGCACTTTACATTGTTCTTTGCTTCAAATTCGTTTATCTAATCGTTCACCCGATTCCCCGATTGTCCGCCCTTATTGTTACTTTTTATGATTACATCAACTGATTCGGAAATACCAGTTGGTTTCAACCCCCTTCGTCCTACTTAGTGCTCGCGCGCGGCAATCGTGACATCGCGCGGAATCATCTAATGACAGACTTATCTACCGGACTTTAAGGTACTCGAATTTGTGGGGGAAGGTCGAGCAAGAATACTGCTACCTTGATTTCTTCGGTCTTTTCCCGACTTTTGAGCTTTTTCTGATTTAACCAGAATTCTTCGTCAAGATCTCCCCCTGACTCACCATCTCGTTCTTCTTCAGAGTCACTGTTCTAAAAAATTAAAGTCGTCTCCTCCGTGAAAGCCATTCTTCGGAGGTGGTTACCGAAAGAACTCTGATATTAGGTTGAGGAATAAGTCCGTAGCGCTTTCGTTTTACTTTATTGATTTTCTGTTTTTCAATTAAATGTGTAACATTCTTTCGATAGAACTCTTTGAGCTCCAAAGAACTGTGCTGATCGTTTTTTGTAGAGTATTTTTTTACTTTCTGTAGACTCAAAAACGGGATATGGCAAAAGGAAAACATTTTCAACCCTGCTCTTTTTCGCTTTTCATCGAGAAAAAAAAGCTACTGAAGCAGCCCTGGTGTGCACGATCCGGGATATGAGATGGTTGCTGGAAGACCTCCTATGAGCTCTTGGAGTGTGCCTTTGACGACATTTGCGACACGGGTCCTAGCATTGTCGTGAAAGAGTATGGTTTGAACTCGTCAATAGGGTTTCATCATTCAAACAAATTCTTTCGCGTGATGTAGCTGAGCTATAGCATATTTAGTATGTAGAGACAAAGGTATTCCATTCATGCAATCACGATTTTTTAGAAAAATTTCGAAATTTTCAACTTTCACTCTTATCTAGCCCCGCCCACCGAAGTCAGGCCCCGTCCCCTGTGGTAAACCCCGACCCTTTATGGGAAACTCCGTCCACTTTCGAATTCAGCATTTCGTGGGATTATGCGACATTTCAAACAAAATAAAAATTTATTTATTTTGCTTTTTCGCGGGAAACTCCGCCCCTTGTGGGGAAACTCCACCCACTCTTGTAGGGCCGTCGCGCATTGATACGAACACCCCCGTATTGTCCCTCTTAACCACTATTTCAGTTCCTGAAGCCAATAAATAGAACCGAAGTCCTCTTTTATTCATTCCATGATCGACCATTCAAGCAAACGCTTGTTCTGAGCACTCTAATTTATTCAAAGTAAACTCGCTAGCCATTGCAAAAGCCGAAACCTCCAAATGCAAAAAACCTCCAGACCAGCAAACAGTTACAACAGCGATTAACGCCAAAGGCGAATCACTGCATCAGATCCAACTACGAGCTTTTTAACCGCAGCAATGACGATTTACACTAGTGGAGCTGGAATTACCGCTGCTGCTGGCACCAGGCTCCACCTTGATCCTCGAAAAAAGGGTTTATGATCAACTCATTGAAATGACCGTTCCATAGGAATGGTCTTGTTTATTTTTAGTCACTATCCTCTCTTCAAGACTGGATAGGCCTGCTCCGTTCCTTGGATGTGGAGGCCCTTTCTAAGTCCCTATCCGAAGTCAAGCCCTTAACCTCCGTTATCCCGTAATAACCATGGTAGACTAAAAATCTACCATCAGGTTGATAGGGCAGACACTTTTTCGGAATATCGGCGGACGAGTCCTTCGAAACACTCTCCGTCGAATACGAAAAGTCTTTCGCTGCGCTTCTTGTCTTGAACATCAGAATAGCAATTTTGAACTTTACATGACATCCCGTCCTGCTCGCCTATGACATCCCTCCGCATACCTGCCTATGTCCCGGAATACTTCGCCAGCTTTTTAGCCTTGACGAAAGAGAAGAAGAGCGTGTCGAGAATGTTGTTTTTCTCCTCCGGGAAATTCCATCGCTTAGCCCGAGAAGTAATAAGAAACAAACCAGTAAAAAATAATTATACAAAAAACGAGGACTTTATCGTATGGATATTACATATTTAGCCAAAAAGCACAAAAAAATGTAAAAGATCAAAAAAAAACGCTACAAACTTATCTAGGCCTCTTGGTCGGTGCGAAGACATGGCAGGTTTTTTGTTTTATTACTTTCAACTTTTTTTCTTAATAAATCAAAACTTAGCGAACGGAATATTATACACCCTTGAAAAGCTTATTCTATGCGCTTTCAAGCTGGTTCTGAGAAGTTAATTCGCGTAAATTGGCCGAAAGCCAGAAGAATTGTCGTTTTGAGATATCGTCGACTCATCTTTTGCGCAGTGCCAACGATCCGTTTTCCGAACGGATTGTGACTTGCGAAGAGAAATGGATACTTTACGATAACAGGAAACGGTCTGTCCGGTGGCTGGACCAGAAAGAAACTCCATGACATCACTCAAAGCCGGAAACTTATCGAAGCAACAAGACGGTTCGGTGGTATGCACCGCGTATGATCTAGTATCTTTGGGCCCGGGTGAAACGATTATAGCAGTAAAGTCTGCAAATCGACGAAATGCAGAAGAAACTGCAAAGTGTATGTCCTGCATCGATTAACAGAAAAGGGGCAATAATACTTACGTGGTGGTGTCACGACAACACTAGGCCTCACGTCTCATTGATCACACGGCTGCAGAGGTTGAACTATGAAATTCCTGCCCATCCGACATACTCATCAGACCTTTCCATCCCTTTTTAGCCACTTTGACAACTTCAAAACACTTCAGAAATCAAGATGACGCAGGAACTGCCTTCGTGAGGTCATCCCTTCTAGGACCCTAGACTTTATGATATTGGCATCAGAAGCTCCTTTCTCGTTGGCAAGAGTGCGTTGATTGCAATGGTCATCACTTCGATTAAATATTTTGTTAGAGCTGACTATACTAGTTTAGACTTTAGATAGAAAAAGTTGCGTTCTTTTTGCATCAACCTATTAATAAATATTGAAATGCACTCATTCACGAGGTAAAACTGTGCTTTCAATTATTCAATCAATGGTGATACTATGCAGTCCTCTGTGGGTCAGCACAATCCACACTTGATAGCCAGGGCGCTTCCAAGAAGAATAAAATGAATGCACCCATGGCGCACCACCATGGCTGCTTTTTATATCGATCGCCAACCGATCACTATTAGGGGGAGAAAGGCATAAGGAGGCGGGCACATTCCTCCCCACCGCGCGAACAATTACGACGTCAGGATAGGGGTAAGTCGTCGCCGTTAAAAATCAAAAAGCATGCACACTGAGGCATGTGCAGGGCTGACAGGGAACCAACTGCCAAAGCGCAGCGGTTTCCGCAGGATGGGAATCCAGGACCGTGGTATAGTAAACCCCCATACTCCACCTGAAAAGCAACTTGCGGCGCAGACATACCGCAGCCGCTACCATGTCCGATCGCATCTACTCCGACCGGTCATCCGCACGACTCGAGTCGCGTTCGGTGTCTCCGGCACTTTGCCGAGTCTTGTACCTAGGCAGCGTTCAGACTTCGCAAGGTCACGCAAACTTGTGATGCATATGACAACTGAGGCGCCACCCATTCTGCAAACTCTGAATCATATGGTAACGGGGGCTAAAATTAATGAGCAGCTATATGCTCCTGCAATCCTCCTTAAATGCCGCGCATTCCAAACATGAGAATAAAAACGGCCTAAGCGTCCTTCTTGTCAGTTCATAGCCTTTTTATGGCTGCGGAGCCGGAATCGCGTCGATTGTGGAAGTTGAAACAGGTTCGTCATTGATTCACATTTGCTTACATTTAGATAGTTGCTCTGCAGTTCTAGCTCTCGTCATCTTCTAATTCCGAGTTTGCAGCATGAGCAGCACCTCATCCGCCATCCGCATCGGGAGCTTACGTTTTGACTGTATTCGAAAGCTCCAACTACAAGATTTGGCAAAGTACCAGGAGCGCAGTGCGGGACACACGCATATTCGGTATGCATGAGATCGGGATATGTTAGCGGCATGCAGGTGTCTGCACAGCAAGCTGCTGTTAGGGTGGAGTATGGAGGAATTGTAACTACAACTGTATGGGGAAATGAAAGCCTATCCCTTTTCCTGGATCTCCATCCGCGCGCGTGTTTGAACGATGGAACCGTTACGCTTCAATAGCTGGGGGCTGTTAGCCTCACAAGTGGGGCTGTTAGCCTCACACGTCTCAAGATACACCTCATGGGTGTGCGCGTTTTGTCTCCAATCAACCCTTTTTCGGGAGTCTCTACTCCCGTTCATAATCGCAATGGCTTACTTGAATGAGCGGTGGCCAATACAATGACTTGCAGGCTAGCCGATGTACAAACTGGTGTTCCTATCAACAAGGCGAATCAGACCAATCGCTGGTTTCCTGCAGACAGAAGGCTTTGTTGCTCTGGGGGAGCCAATCCGGGATTTCGCGGACCGTCCGCGTGTATGCGTCCCGCCTCTCACCACACTATCTCTACCTCACTTGCGACGTTGCCGACTATACGTGGTTTGGCGCCTCTGTGTTTTCGGGCCAAGTGGGGGATGCTCTATCGCTGCAATCACTCGGAACAGTGTCGAGAGGCATGAAGTGAGCCCGAACGCGGAGTTCTCACCGCAGTTCGTT